TGCTATGAACCGCTTATACTTGTGCGCGTCATGGCGGTGGCTTGGCGAAAGTGTGGAACTGTTATTGGAATCTGCCTTTGATGTCCTTCATTGATCAATGACCTGCTGTTCACCGCCCTTCCTTCAACCGAGATTTTTGTATGTGTCGTATGTTGCTAAAACACTAGATAAAGCTCGCCACTGCACTCACCCACCTATATTTTTGTTTTGTAGGTCTGTTCGTTTAATCTTTACTATTTTTTCTTCTTAACATTCCGGCCGATCATCTTATTGTATATCGTGCTGCTGTGTCCCGTAAACCAAAATGTATATGCATAGAATGCTTTTTTTTTTTATTTGTCTTCTGTTTTTTCTATATCTGTTGTTCTCTTCTTTTCTTAACACATTTTATAACCTACTTTTCCACCTCTGGCACGCCGACTCGGTAGCAGATTTGAAAAATGTTGCATGACTTAGCGAGCCACGGACAAAGCTTTCAACAAAACTATCTCTTTTCTCCTTGAGAGAAGGCCTCACGCCTTAGCCAACCAAGCTAATCTGGGGAACACGCGTCACCTGGTTTCTGACTTGGAATTGTCCTGCCAAGATGCACGGAGGGGGTTGTATTTCTTTGGACTGTATTTCTCCCTCTTTTCTTCAATAATTCTTTTCCTCTTTCATTCTTTTCTCTTTGTGTTTTTGTGCTTCCTGCTTCCCTTCCCATCATCTTTGTGTGCTCTTAGCTCTCCTCTTCCTACTCCATTTTTTCCCTCTTGTTGCAACTTATTCTTTTCTCTTCTATCCCCCTCCTTCCTGTTTCATGCTCTTCCCCTCGTCTTCCTCATTTATTTCTCTTTTCTCTCTTCTGTCTTCTCCTCGTCCTCTTCTCATTTTACTGTTCGTTTCTTTTTTTGTCTCCTCCTCTTCTCTCTTCCTCTCTATCACTTCCTCTCTCTCTATTCTTCATCTGCCACTCACTAAAATTTATCTCTTTCTCTACCTATTTTCTTCTCTCCTCCTCCCACCTCTCTCCTCCTCCTGCCTCCTCCTCCTCCTCTCTCCTCCTCTCCTCCTCCTCCTCTCTCCTCTCCTCTCTCTCTCTTCCTCTTCCTTCTTTCTCTCCTCTCCTCTCCTTTCTCTTCCTCCTCCTCCTCTCCTCCTCTCTCCTCCTCTCCTCTCCTCTCCTCCCTCCTCCTTCTTCTCCTCTCTCTCTCTCTCTCCTCCTCCTCCTCTTCTGCCTCCTCGTCTCTCTTCTTCTTTCTCGTCTTCCTCTTCCTCTTCCTCTTCCTCTTCCTCTTCCTCGTCTCTCCTCCATTTCCTCCTCCTCCTCCTCCTCTTGCTCTTCCTCTTCTTCTCTCTCCTTCATTTCCTCCTTCTCCTCCGTCTCTCCCACCTCTAACTATTATTGTTATCATTATTCAGTTTTTGAGTGATTTGTTAATAAATGATTTTTGAAATTAATAATGTTGTGATAATAATATGAAAAAAATAATGTAATGATTATAATAGTTGCGTTACACCACAGTTCTTGTGCTGTGCTAAATTGTTGTAGGTTTTAGCTTTATCTTGTTATGTGCTGTCCGACTTGCTGCAAACTCGTTACAGAGGATTGGCATTATATAATGAAACTGATTAAATCACCATCAATCCTTTAATGAAAGACCAGATGTTTAGCTGATTATATAATTATGATTATGATTATATGACACAAACATGAACACAGGGACATTTATGACAACAGAGCTACCTGGGTGAACACGCACGACCCTACAAGGAAAGCATCTATGAGGAAATGGTGGCCGGCCAGGAAGCGCGGAGACAGGCGAGCGTGGAGGCCGAGAAGGAGATTATGAGGCAGAAGGAGAAGAAGGAGGAGGAGCAACGGACTGTCATGAGGGAGGAGGTTGCCAGGTTGGTCTTGATAGGGAATGATGTTTTTTCTTAGCTGGCAGTGTAATTTATATTTATTTATTTATTTTTATATATCTCTTGGTATTGTATGGTTAGTTTTGTCTTTTTCTCTTTGTTTATTCTTTCTTTGTGCTATTTTTTTATTATTATTATTTTTTTTTTTCAATTTAGCCTGTCAATTAGATTGGTATGTTTATTTAGGATATGTAGTGTATGCTTAGTGGAATGTGTGCTATTTTTTGTTTTAATATTTTTTTTGTCTATTACAAAACAAAACTTGACAAACTGATATAGGTTCAATTTTTGTGATTCTCCATGAATGATATATATAGATTTAGCATATATTGATCTCCTGAGCCTTTCTTCATGTATATATTTGTTTGCTAAATTTAGTAAAGTTAACTTTGCCCATCCATGCCAAAAAACTCCAGCTCAGGATTATTTAGAAAAAAATGTGTAAAAATCAATCACTCTGAGGTATGTCAGTATTTTTTTTGCTGGTAAAAGTATGTATCGTCAGGCAATAGGTCATTTAAGTCTTTCTTCTTTACTCATATATCTCTGTATATGAATAAGGAAAGGTCCCAAGGTATTATATACTCCATGATAAATTCAGTAGTGGTTCAAGCTGGAACATGAATAAACAATAGATTTTATATTTCATATGGAGAATATTGATATATACACCTTTAGCTATGGGTAAGGTGTAATGACTTAAACACGTTTATCCTGTCACAGTAAGGTAATTTCTTTGTCATTATCATGTCAGTTAGCTGGTTTCTCCAATTTCTTGTTGTCTCAGTTAAGAATATGCCATTTTTGTCCTAGTTGTGTCCTGGGTAAGCTGTTGCCTCAAGCAAGTGTACATGTTAAGAAAGGTATGTTAAAGGAAGGAGATTAATATTTATCTGTGCATATTCTGTCCTCGCATAGGGATATTAGGCCATCAACACCCTCTGGGTTAATTGTGAACCACGAGGTCCTTTTATGAAACACCCATTCAAAATGTTAATGAGAAGTAGAAGTAGAATGTGATAGGGGATAGAACTGTTGTGTGAGGTAACATTTCAAAGAAAATTTGAAATTGAAGTTATTTTGGAATACTCTCCTTGAGAAAGAAAGAAAGAAAGAAAATACTATTTTATTACCACACCAGACCTATTTCTCAATGTCATGAACCACCCCCAGGGTTAAGGAAGAGCTTAAGCAAGAGGAAAGGAAGAGGAAAGAGCAGAGGTATTGGCCGTTCAACTCTGAGGCCGGAGGAGAGAAGGGGCACGCTGGAGAGTTAGCTGATTCTCCCAATCATGGCAAGTAAGTCCAGCATGAGGCTTGTTTCTATCTTATTTTTTGTTAGTTTATATGTTATTTTCTTTTTTTAAGAAAAAAAAGGCTCTGTATCTATTATTTATAGATATTTAATATAAAATGATGTGCTGTTCAATTCATCTCAGTTATTGTTATTTTTTTGTAATTTCATGTAAGATGAAGTTTGCTGTGCTGTTTAGGTTCTCATTATTTACCTTATATATTGACTTTTAAATATAAATTACTGATATTCCAGCCATAAATCTAACAGTAAAATTGTTGCATGCACATATATATTTTGAATAAGACTGTTTTGGACATATTGATCCCTCCTGTTTGCAATTTCTTTCTAGCCTGATTTTACCATTCTAATGATCATCTGGTAACTATTGATATTAATCTTATTATTATAAATTTTTTCCATATCCATTACTGCTAGGCTGAAACATCGATCCATATCCGAGTGCAGTTCCGAAAGTGGGTCAGGAGAGAACCAAGGGAGTAACGTGATGCGTTTTCCCCTCGGTGGAAAGCAGGAGTGCCTTGTCATTGTGGGGAAGTGCATTTGGGAACGGAAGAATCAGGGATGCTATTTATATGAAGCTCGTGATAAAGTAACCTCAGAGAGAAGTGTTATTTACGAATGGTGGATCAACTCAAAGCGAACAGGACGGAAAGGAAATTACGTGAAGATTGGCCAGGAAAACCAGGTTGAGGAACTAGTTAGTAAATTTTCAGCTCAGGAAAAGGAGATGAGCTCCCTGCTACGGCTTTCACATGACAACCTCGTTGGGTACTTAGGAATGAAGATTAACTGCAGGCAGATTGAGGGTGTTGATGTTTACATCCTCCAGGAATATGTCCAGGGGATGTCCATGAAGTACTATATTCACCACCAGATCCCCCTGAATGAGGCTTCCTTGCGCCACATCACGGAAGGAACCCTCAAAGCCCTGAACTACCTCCACCAGAACAATGTCGTCCACAGAGATCTGAGAGACTCAAGCATATACCTTGACAATCAGTCCCATTTGGTACGAGTGGCTGATTATGGTGTTGAGAGGAGAATTGTGGAAGCAGTCCTAGAGTTCAAGAACATCGAAGTACCCCCCTTGTACCCTCAGTCACCTGGCCGAGGGGGGAAGAAGGGAGACATCTACCGCTTGGGGCTTGTGATCCTATCTATCCATCAAGGCCGGCGGGTGCAAGAGGTAAGTGCCAGTGGTGTGTTTCGTCTTCAGCATTTTGGCAAGTATTTCATTGATTACTGGTAATGGAGTGCAGGGAATAATGAAGTCCAGAATTATTATTATTATTATTATTATTTTTTTTTTTTTACATTTCATTGCATAGGGAAAATGGGCAACATTTGAAAAGATTGTATAGTTGTTGTCATAGTGCATTAAATGATTTCTCCTACCTACTCAAAGCAGGAAATTTTATTGTGAACTTATTCATGCACTCTTGCTTATTTACCAATGACAAGAGATGAACTTAATGAATAACAAAATTTACAAAACTTATTGTATTGAAATTGTATGTACTTATATTGGTGGGGGATAAATTATATTTGGAAGACATTGGTGACAGATTCATGTCCAGATCACAGAGAATATGTAATAAGTTACATGATATATGAACATTCTGAACTGAACTAGGTGAGGCATAGAATTTGATTCAACTCTTACTTTTTCACTATCACTTGTTGGTGATTCATCTATTATTGAACCTATCCAGTAGTTAAAGACCCACCATGTTTGATTTATGATTGAAAAATATAGGTTTCCCAGTATTTTTGCTAT